TGTGTGTCTGTGTGTGTGTGTGTGTGTGTGGTAAACCACCAATAAAGATGTATCTAATCTTATCTTATCTTATCTCATGTTATCTTATCCCATACTATCTCATTGTGTGTGTGACAGGAGAGACGTGCTGAACCACCTCCTCAACGGCTCCAACGAGACAGACAAGTATGACCCCCGGGTACCCCCTGACTACGAGGAAGGTGAGCAACAGCTGTACATGTGGGGCATAGTTATGTGTGAGGTGTGCTGAGAAAGTGACTGACTTCTCTGGTTTGAGCCTTATGGAAAGATATACGTCAAAGTTATAGGTTGAGGTTTTACAATTTATAAGTATGAAATAATAAAAGGCATGTTATACTTAAAGAATGAATGGCATTAATAGACAATCTACAAATTTGACCCTAGTTTGATGTTTGGCATATGTCTCCATTCCTGGATTGTAGGAGAAACTCATTTTGTCGACATGCCTCACATATTGGTCGTTTTTAAGCACAAGGGGGCTATCCTGGAAAATACTGTTTAGAGAAAATCGAAGGTAACGTTTTTGGCACCTTGTTGACTGTATTTCTGTTCGACTGTTGGTTGATTATTGTTGTTAGATTTCCCATCCAACAAACGTATAAAATAAACCACCAATCAAACAAATATGAAGTTATGAATCCACAAGCTTTTTAAACTGACACCCTCACAATTTCCGCTTTGTGACTATGCCTGTTTTTCTGGAGGACTCCTCGTGTATTTTTGGTTATTTGTGGGCTCCTTTTTATTGGCTGTTTTGATTATTTTAATTTTTCGAGGGTGATGGTGGGTTTTGTTTCGTTTGTTTTGGGTTGTTATTTTAGTAGATGGGGTAAGGGGGGGGGGGGGTATTTTATAACAGTTCAGTTCCAAGTCGGACAAAATTAAGCTCATTCCAGAGGCTGAACTCTTGCCAACAGTACGCCAGACTGACAGGAGCCATCTGTCACTACTATCAGACAGGACGATATTGTGTTTTTTTTACCCGCTGACTACTAGAGCTGGGCGAAGAATCGGTTGCGGAACCGATTTTCACGATTATGCTACGGAAGGAAAGTACCGACTCCTTTTTACGAAAACCAACGGTTACCAATAACTTTAATCATCTAAATCTTTTTTTAAAATTTACGTTTAACAGATAAAAGTTGATACTTCGTAGTGTTCGGAAATCAATGTTATCCTAAACCCTGAAGATGTTCGGAGCCAATTCTGTAACCTCCGGAAGAAATCACATCATTAGAAAGTAAGTAGTTGGGTTCGGAGTCGATTCCTACAATCCCTAGCTTTCAATAATCGGGAACCTACCCTCCCAGCACAACTGACTACCCTGTTTAGATTCGACGTCTGGTTTTCTGTCTGGGGACAAAATTGCGTCCTAACTTGCGACGGAAGCAGCCTATAAATCAGACAGGAACATGGCGCTTATACGTGGAGACACTTCGCTGTCAGGGAACAGATGATGTTTTCCCAATCCTCAACAGATCAAAAATCAATTAGAGCGACGTCCTTTGATGATTTGATGATTTGATGATTTGATGATTTGATGATTTGATGATTTGATGATTTGATGATTTGATGACGCGATCTTTCAACTTTTCACTTAGTTTGCTTGATGATGGTTGCTTCCTTGTTTTCTTTTTTAGTTGTTTTTAGGGCTGGGGGGGGGGGTGGTGCGGATAAACTATTCACATGACAGTTCTGTTGGCCTGGTGGTTTTTCAGTCAGCCACTTACTTCCTTTTGCACATTTATGACACTAGCTGTTTCAATTTTCCTTCTCTATCATTTGCTTTTTCTGTTCTTCTCTTTTGCTTCATCTATCGTCCGTACCTCCCCTCCTTCATTTTTGTATTTGTTACTCTCTTGTAAAACCTGTAATTTACGGCACTTATATGCCCGTATTGTGTTGCAAGTGCAACAAGACTCCTACTAACATTAAAATACACACACACTCAATCACACACACACACACACACACACACACACACACACACACACACACACACACACACACACTTACAGAACAGAACGATAGTACTGAACGCACGAGTTTCGTTCCAATCCCCCAATGCTCACAGAACTCTTCCATCACAAACAACAAACACACAGAAACACACTGTATATATATATATATATATATAAACATTTCTGTTCTGCTGACGTAATCGAGCCGAGGTGTCTGTTCCCAACTTGATTACAAGTCTCTTGGGTGGGGTGGATCGTCTCACGCTTATCACAGCAGTATCGATCTGTTTAATGGATGAGGGCTGCTCGGTATCGATTTTCTTTGGCATCTATGAGTGGGAAAACATTATGCTTCTGAAATCATCATCATCATCATCATCATCATCATCATCATCATCATCATCATCATCATCATCTCATCATCAATGCCTTCCACCCCCGGCACGGTATAGGCCACATACAAGCCCCTTCCATTTATCTCTGTCCTGGGCCATCCTTCCTAGCTCGTTCCAAGTGAGCTTCATCTCTCTCATGTCCCTTTCCACACATCTCCTCCATGTTTCCCGTGGCCTACCCCTGCCTCGTGCTCCCTGTGGGTTCCACTGCAGTGACTGTCTTGTGATGTTTCCGCTGGGTTTTCTGAGGATGTGTTCCATTCATCGCCACTTTCTTAGTCCTATTATGTCCAGACTGGTTCAAGTTGGTCTCACAGATTCCCAGTATGTGTAGTTGATAACGGTGCATCTCTTGGGGGACTTTTTCCAGCCTCATAAAGGGTCCTAACGTTCCACGAGCCAATCCGAATGCTTCTGAAATGTGGACAAAAACACGTGACGTGTAGAATGTCTGTGCTTTCATGTTCGACATTAAGATAGCTTCTCTGGGGTTTCCCGTCTTGTCTCGTCCAGGAAAGTATGTGCTCGCGTGTGCGAGTTGAGTTTTGGTGAAAGGTTTTCTTTTTTAAATGTTGGTGTTTTTATATCTAGGATGTATAAAAACATCTGATGTTAAATGTTCCACTGAAATAAGACGGAGAATTGCAATGGTTAAGGCTAGTTTCAATAAATTGAGCCCAATCCTAAAAAATAGAAACATCTCAATGACCACCAAAATGAAAGTTCCGAAACGCTATGTATGGTCAAGCCTTCTATATATGGCTGTGAATGCTGGACAATCACTAAAGACAGTGAAATAGCTAACCCCTACACCACGGGACAGACGAGATGTCTGGAAAGATTTGCGATGCATTAACCACTGGGTAGGGTGTGTTTATATATGCTTGTTTGTGTCTGTTTGTGTATGTGTGTGTGTGTGTGTGTGTGTG